CTGCCCCTGCCTGCACCCACGTTACTGAACTTTCCGGTTGTTCTGCAACGACCGGGTTTTCTCACGCTACCGAAACCAGGTTGAAGCCTGGGATGTTTATACACAGCCTTATTTATACTTCTGTTTATTTTTGTCCATACGGAAATTAATTTGTGTGCGAGTGCATGCATATGATTTTTTATTGTTATTAGGAGTATTTTTTAGTGTTTGGGATGGTTTTCTGTTTTTATAAGTTCAGAGAAATGCCACTGATCAAAGGAAAAGCTAACTGAAGGGAGCCAAGGACAGAAATTTCCTAATGCTTCTAAAATTCAATGGTAGTAGGACCAAGAAACTCACTGTAGTTCTGCAGAGATCTCACCTGTTAACTGTTTTGTCCAAAATACGCTTTACAAACACCGCCATGTCGGTATTCCGAACGGTCGAATTGAAGAAATGAGTGTTTTAGCTCAGCGTACGGGAGCTATTACTCTTTATAACACTTACAGATTTTCAGAACTTGAGGACAAGTGAAGGAAATGGCTTGTGTTTCTCAAAGACAAATGCTGTCTTTGAGCTAATTTTTTTCCCCAGGGCAGAAAATACTACTGGGGGGTGGGTGGTTCTGGCCGGTTCCCCCTGTTTGCTTCCAAGAGCCATTTCTGGAAAAAGCAGAAATGCGCTGCAGGATAAAGCCTGCCAGAGTACAGATTTGCTATCAGGTTGTTTGATGTTGTCTTATTTTTCAGCATTTATTTGGAATAAATGTGGGGGGAAGGAAATGAGTGTAAGATTGAGAACAGCAGGAGGGGAAGAAAGGATGAGCTTTGCCTTTAGAGACGGCGGTATAAGCATCTCCTAGCACTTTCTTCATTGCCGTGTCTTGAGTTACATCGTTGCGCAGCAACACAGACCAAAAATTGCACCGTGTTTGCTGGTTTTCACATAAAATAGCAGCTCCTCCGTTGTTGGCTTATTCATTTAATATCATTGCGTTGCCTAATTGATTTAAACGTGTTGCATGGTGATGCGAACGTTTTTCACTCCATACGCCGTTTGTATGGAAAATGACAGAGTGTTGGTAGTACTAATGCACTGGAGAAGGAGAAGGAGGAAGAATATTGTTCTCGTGTAATACATTTCAGTGACATTGATACGGTTCTGCTGAATTAATGACCCTTTTTTTTAATACAGAAATATTTCAGACTGAACGTAGGAGTTGCTTTGCGAAGTGTCACAGAATTGCAAGGAATACTAAAGCAAATTGAATTTTCCTATCGTAAGACGATTTAATAACAAACAAAGCATTAGGTAGGCAATATTAGTAAATTTACATAAAGACAAAAGATTTTTTACACCTCCTAATTTTCCAAAACTTTCCAAAACAACCCTTTTTTTCCTTACTTGTTCCTCTGAGACCCTGACCTTGTATTCAGCACTAGAAGTAGCCCTGCTGACTCCTTACTAAACGTATGCCGTGATTCTGCAGGATATCGGCTTTTCTTTGCCCCACTTTGACTACCGCTCCTTGCTCAAGCAGATGTGGTGGGGCTGGGGAACCCGAGGAGGTAATAAAGAGATTTTTATAGTTCTTGATGCCAACATCCAGCTGTTTTAGCCAACTTCAGCAGCATGAAGCGGGTGCGAGCAGCCATCGATGCAAAACGTGGCGATGGCGGCTGTTGGCTGGTGGTTTTGCCACGGGTGGGAAGGACGGGGGGTGGATTTTGCTTTCCCAAACATGTTTTCAATTACTGATGTACCTTAGCCTTTTCCCTTTTTCCTCGGTGTGGAGCTCACACTGGAGATAATTTTACTCTGTGCAACAGATTGACGAAATAATTACGCTGCGCAGCGCAGTAAGACATGAAAAGTGCCTTTTCAAAAATACAAAACCCAAAGAAAATATGTTTGTTTAGGAAAAAAATAGAGGAATAATAGGAATGGTAAAATAATAAGCTTTTAAAAATAGGAGTAGTAAGCTTAATGCTCCAGCTTTTACCACAGTAAACATATAATTGTAAGCTGATTGTGGTGAATTCCTTAAATGACAACCTCCATCAATATAAATTTTAAAGAGACAGTCCTACATCTGGAAGCCAGCAGCAGCTCAGGATTTTATTAAGCGGCACAGCTACATAAAACCCAAGCGCTAGTATAAACCATATAAAAAATAAAGATTGGCTGTAGCTGAACATCTCACATAGGCGAGCGAGTGCTCCGGAGCTTGGAGAGGCTGTGAGTGCACCATAACTTTCCCAGCAGCTTTTGAGCCTGAGGTTGAAATGGTCAATAGAGGGTTTCTGCATTGGGTGTAGAAGTGTTCAGGAGCTTCGGTTACTGGTGGAATAAACAGAGAAACTGCAAAATTGCTGTTAGTATGTTCATGGCGGGCTGTTCAGCCTGGAGAAAAGGTGGCTCTGGGGAGATCTAATTGCGACTGACCAGTACCTGAAGGGGCCTACAGGAAAGATGGGGAGGGGCTGTTTATCAGGGAGTGTAGTGACAGGACAAGGGGGAATGGGTTCAAGCTGAGGGTCGATTTAGATTAGATATTAGAAAGAAATTCTTTACTGTTAGAGTGGTGAGGCACTGGCACAGGTTGCCCAGAGAAGCTGTGGATGCCCCATCCCTGGAAGTGTTTAAGACCAGGCTGGATGAGGCTTTGGGCAACGTGGTCTAGTGGAGGGTGTCCCTGCCCGCAGCAGGGGGGTTGGAACTAGATGATCTTTGAGGTCCCTTCCAACCCAAACCATTCTATGATTCTATGATTTTTTTTGGAAATGTTACAAAGTACTGTGTTACATATTACAGTCAAAAAAAGGTTTACAGAACATGATTTTCTGACTGTAAAGAAGGATATGAGAGAATGACCTTATGATAAGGAACAGAAACCTGCCCTCTTCCAAGGGCTGCAACTTGACATTGCTATTTCCAGCTTTCATCCTACGGATGGAGGATTGAGTGCAGTCGATGGCTGTGACGGTCATGTGTCTGGCTGCAACGGCGTGACAAGTATCAGAAAAAGGGAGGGGGGTGATGCACAGCTGACCCAAATACAAACTCAGCAGCCATCCCGGGAGCGAGAGGTCAGCTGCGGAATCACACGGGACAACAGTCTCCAGTACCGCAAAATACCAAGTGCTTTCCAGTTCTGCGAGCTGATGACCTCCACGCTTTTTGGAGCACGTCAGTGCCCTTCCTTGCTGAGTGGGAGGTTTCCCATACAGTGGCAATAACATGAACTCATTGGAATTCAGAAAGCAGTGTGATTAGTAGCTCCTTCTTAGTCTTTGTGTCTAGAAATAACCCAGAACATTGTAACGCAAAGTTTCAAGGAAGTAAAATGAGCGATAGTCTGAACAAAATTCAGCGCTCTTATTTTTTAACAGGTTTTTGATACAGCTCAGCTTGATACAGCATGGTATTTACCAGCCTGGCCTTTAATATTGGATCTGCTTTCCAATTATGCTTCAATTCATACAACAGTTGCAGAGAGCGTGTGTGGGCGTACATGCGAGAGAGAGATTGATTTTGTTCTTTAAAAATGTGAAGTCTGCACTAGGCATGAAAACCCATCAGAATTTCTAGCACTTAAACGCCATTTCTTTTCTCAATGTGCTACCAGCATTAAGCAGTCTTCGCGACATCTCTCTGACAAATGGAGAGTGCAAGTGGAAGAATACTTAAGTAGAGTATTCAACACAGATAGCACTGAAAAGCAGGCTGCAAATCCTTTGCAGAAGTAAAGAGTTAATGTGAGATCTCAAATTACATCTTGGAAACAAATACATAAGGTCTTAGCTCTATTTTTCAGAAGTACTTGAGTGAAAATGGAATAAAGTACGTACGCGTCAGTCCTGGTGGCTGCTGTGTGTTAGAGTAGTCTCTTGTGTCTGGGGCAGCAGATGTTGGGCAAGCCTCACTGCCACCACTTTACACAGAGAGTCTTCATATTCCTGGTGCTTGTTCCCAGCCGCTTTGTTTTTTGCGTGCTGTATTCCTGAGCCTTGATACTGCTTTGATACTTACTCCATGTCATATCTGAGAAGTCCAGAAGAGTGTTATTTTTTTGTCTTTCTGCAGTTCTGATTCTTCATTTCTTCTTTTTTTCTGTAGGTTTGAAGACCTATCTGATCTCTGGTCAGAAGGTGAAGGAGCCCCACTGCAGCTGTTCCCAAGCATTGCTTCCTGGCTTGGAGTCCGGAGATGGAGCCAGGATCCAGGGAGCATCATCGACTGAGAACGCCAGTGACTTGACAAAAACTCTCAAACATGCAGAAAAGCCGAAGGTGAGTTCTTGTTTCTAACCCAAGCAGCATAGATCTCAAACTGTGTGAACCAGGGAGATGTGTGTGGATGGGGAAACCTTACAGATTCGTTTATGCACTGCTTTATATATCTGTATCTATACCTATGTATATGTGTGTGTGTAGACACGCATACAGTGACAAAATGTAGTTTGAAGGACCAAAAAATTTACAAAATAAAATGCTTTGCTGGTTGACAAGGAATCCCCAAAGTAAAGTGAACACTTTTTAAAGGTGGTTTCAAATACGCTTTTTTGTTGTTTTGTAGTTCAGGACTTGAGAGGTCAGTGCTGCTTTTTCAGTTGTCTTGATTTTATGGGGGAATAAAGAATATGCTTTAAGCAGCTACTGTAACTTCTATTATTTTCTGCTTTTGCTGCACCCTGCTTTTGCCATTCTTCTCGCATGCAGGTCATGTACCTGTGAACCTTTTCATAGGAGTACACAACAGCCATCTCCGCAAAAAGGGGATAGGGTTGTTTGTGTGGTGGGAGAAAATGCCCCGGTAGGCTGTGAGATTGTCTTTTATCTGCTTACTCTAGAAACCTATATCTAGAACCGAGGACAGTGATTCGTATGGATTCAGCTTAGAGAAATGATGACATTTTGTTATGTTCACACCTCTCACAAGATCTCTTGACAAGGAAATCTGTGAAACAATGTGTATTGCTTTGAAGCTTTGCTGTTACTCTCCATCTTCCAGCTCAGAACAGATTTCCCAAACAACAGATGTCTGTTCTCTATTTTTGTTTGTGCTGAGTTCCTCATCCTGGCTTGCCCAAGCTGGGCACGAATGTCAGAACCACGGGTGGTCATTTGCAGGTCACTGTCCTCAGTCTGCAAGGTGTTTAGTCCTGAGCTTCAACACAGGTTTGAGATTTAGCTGACAGACTTGATGGGAAGGTGACTTTCATGCTACTCTGTTTTTGCTGTTTGCATGTTTGTCATCTGGATTAGGAGAGCACCTTTACCGTGCCTCTGTGCCCAGTTTTGAGTTTTGGAATAAAACCACTGCGTTGCAAGGGAGAGCAGCTGGAAGGCTGGCCTGAAGATAGGGTCCAAAGTTAAGTGAGCTGCTTAGAGAGCAAGCCAGGACTGTTGAACAACAGAAGGTAGCTGTAGCCACCTTTATCCCTCCCCAAACTATGCACTGTGTTGTTTGACTACATCCGAGTTGCTGGTGATACTTTTCTTTTCCTTCTTCCGTGTAAGAAAGAATATATTTGGCGTTCCTCAGGCACCAGCTTTCCAGCTCTCTTCTTGTCTGTCAATGAAGGTTCTAGCAAATAAGGTAGGAAAACACATCTCAGCAGTCGATGGGTGTCTGTACAAATAAGCCTGTCCAGCACATGGCCCTGCAGAGGTACAGATGTGACAGTAAGGAGTAGAAACTCCTTTATTTCAAGTAGTGAAGAAAAACATACCATGTGGAGCAGTATTACTGAGCTGCCTGTCCCTTGAGCAGAAGGGAGAGAGGAGGGACGAAACAAAGCAGTAAATCAAAGGGTGCTGTTCTGAGAGAACGCGAGGGTGCCTTGTTAATGTCAGACAGCAAAACAAGCTGTAACTGGAGGACCGTGAAACTACAGCGAAGTACAGGACTGACCCGACTGCAGCTGGGATTTGATGAAATTTGTTATGTATTAAATTGTGGTACTTCGTGTTAAACTGATCCCAGTCCAAAATGAAATCTGTTGTTAAGGCTCAGCTGTGGTACATGTTTTCTAAAACACGCGGTGACTTACACTGCAGAAGGGTAGATACAAATGTACCACTATTTCTGAACAGCTAGCACGCAGTGTGGAGGCATGCTGCTGGCCCACGATGTTTTGTTTGCTGCCTAGTCCCCAGTTTTCTGCTCTGGAACCGTCTTGGCTGGATGTTAATTGCTGTTTAAATGCTGAATGATGCACAGTGCAAAAATGCAAACGTGGCTATCCAAATAAGTGAAGGAGAAGCTAAAAGAAGCTGCTTCAGAAGAACTTCTAGGACAAGTGCCAGCTCGGTTTCAGCCTTCTTGGGTACCCTATCTACTGTTGTGCTAAAGCCACTGCCTCGAGTTTATGCTTACAGATACCCGGTTTATTGATCACCACGAGCACTGCAGGTCTGGCCAGTGATTTCCTAAGCAGCCTCACAACTCTCTGAAAATAGCGCGCCTGTCTCGCCCAAAATACACTGATGCTGGAGTGAATTTTGAATGACCCCAAAGTCAGCTTTCCCCGCATTCTGATAATGCATGCCACAAACCGTGTCAGAATGCATGTAGCATAGTGATGAAGCAATCGTGGGAATGCTGAGCGCTTACTTAAAAACGTGTTCTGTGACTAGTTGCAGCACAGGAGAGCAAAGCGTACCTGCTTCTCACAGCTGTGTGATGCAATGGCTAGGTACAGCTATTCCAAACTCCGCAGCACGCTTTCGAGGGTAGATGTGCACCAGCCTTCTCTTCACTGGGTAATCTGTTATTGGGGTGATTGTGGACTGAGAAGGCTGGGTCAAGCTTCCAAAGAATGTTTAATTTGCCAGTCATGCTAGAGTAAATAAATAAATAAATATGTATATTAAAAAATCCCCACAAAGGACAACTGTGCAATTTAATCACAGATCATGCACAATTTTTGAAAAGGAGTAGGTTTCTTTTTTACACCTTTTTTTTTTTTTTTCTTTTTTTAAAGCCTGCAGCTTTCTGGTAGGGTCTGGAGATGATAATTTGCAAAAGAATCATGACTTACATGCCAACTGTTTTAAATACAAAGCTGTAAACAGTGTCAGTGTAGGAGGAGATGACTCCAGCTCTGCAAAAGAGACTTAAGTAGGAGGAGCAAAATTACAGGCAAGTTGAAATATTTTTATTTTAAAGGGAATAAGTGGCCATATTGGATGCAAAGGATGACTTTGACATTTTGGGCTTGAACGGATGTTCTAGCAGACAAGATCTGTTAAGGAAAGTCAGGAAGGAGAATGCAGCAGTAATTGATCCATGAAAGGAATTGTATTTCCTCCTCTCCTCCGGTGTATCTGTAGTTCATTTAATTGCAAGCCTTGTTGCAGCATGGATATCAATAAAATGTGTGTACATAATTAAAATGGTGAAGACAGAGGCTAAAAACTATAAGGAGAGCTATAATAGCAGCTGATTTTTTGAATGAAAACATGGTAACTTGCTTAACTGGTTTTGGTATCGGTTTATTTTTCTTATCATATTTTACAAAATCCCTTACTTGACTGCGAATCAAGCTGTTGTAAAAACGTTTTAATCATCTCTTGGTATGAAAACAGAAAGTACTTTTGCTTGTCTTGGTGTTTGCTGAAAGCGTATTAATGTATTATTCATTGTGATGAGGTCACATACGCACTGAGCTTGTGTCTGGAATAGAGGATGAAGTTAATGATGTTGACTTGAGCACGTGGTGTAAGCCAGATGGACTTCCGCCTCTCCGCAAAAGGTTGGGCTTCTTTTCTGAAATTTTTGTCTCCTGGTTGAACCCTAGGAGCTAAGCATTTGAGGTGGTCTTGCTGATTTATGAGCAAGATCAAACGGGAGGTCTTTTCTTTATTTTTGATGTTAGAGGTATTTGGTTTTGCTAACTAGCTAATGCTCTAGGAGCATAGTTACTTCAAGCCTGCTGGTATTTGTTCAGCCTACACAGGTTCAGAACTGGATGTAACTTGCTTATCTATTGCCAGATGTGAAAACTCTTAGTCACTTCAGTGCCCCCAAAAAGGGACTTTGGGTGAAAAGTCAGTTCTGCAAAGACTCGTGTACTCATCTCTGAGAGAGCAACCTGAAGGCAGAAGTTGTGGTTTTGGACCAGGAGAATGATAGAGGCTTGAACGAGTCCCGAGTCCAAAATAAACACATAAAATGGACATGGGGTGTTGAGTTTGGGACAAAAGGCTCAAGTTGCTTCTTGGAAAATGTATCAAGATGTTTAGTGGATCACCTACCATCATTTAGTATATAGTGTGCCAAATTTAGTATGCCGTTCCCCGTGACTGGTGTCTCTGTACCCATGAGTAGACTCCTGGCAAGACAGGCAACAGCAAACTGTCTCTGGAGCAGAGGAATTGCCAACAGGGATCAGATGCAGGGTCCCTCTGATGCCCCATCCTGCCTGCTCGTGGCCAGGGCTGGAGAAAAGCACGAAGAACTTGGAAGATACAGATGTGGACCTAATTCCACTTCAGAAGATCACATTTTAACTCTAAGGGGTTAGATTGTTTTAAAAGCCAAAGTGTTAGTTACATTTTAGGTTGCTTCCAAAATGCATAACCTGAAACTATTGCAAGTCCGGATGTTTTTGCTTTCCTTGTTTCCTGTGACATTTCCTGGGTGTTTGCCTTCAACAATGTACAATAACCTAAGCTCCGCTCTACTGTCTTAGACTGCTATATGAAAAAGTATTTCCCTTTATTAGTTTCAGATTTGTTGTTTTCCATTTCCCTGTGGTGTTCATAATGCATTGTGGTGTTTTGTGCTTTTTTTTTTAATTTTGCAGCGTTTTGTGCTAAGTGTTCACTCATAATGCCATTCAGATCCTTTTGCAGACAGTTTTTAAACAAGAAAATTGCACTTTTCTCACTCGAGTATTCCGTTCTTCCTGGGGAAGCCTTTTGCGAGTATGCAGTGATTATAGTGTATCTGTGATCTTACACTAGTAAAGCTTTCCTGGATTAGATTTAGCTTCAGTAAACAGAAAATCTGTGATTTATTTTTGAAATGGTGCATTCTGTTCCAGTCAAATTTTGCTCCCTGCTTCCCATTCTGTAGCTTTGTTTATCTTTTAGCCATGCCGCAAGTATACAAGTGGACTGAATTATAAATTGCATAATACTATGGGGATACCAGAACGTTCCTGGCTAAAATTTTTTTGTCTCATTGCAGCCTTGCCCTTCATGTAGTACCACCCTTGCTCCCCACTGTGATGTCAGCATAGACGAAGGAGCTATCCAAAATGGTTGTCAGGATGAGCATAAAAACAGTACGAAGGTAATTTAAGTATTTGTCATATTATCCCTCCTTTTCCCTTATTTCTTTGCGTCAGTTAGCTTTCTCATTTTGGTATTGCTGTTCCTTTATTCAAGCTCTTAAGCAGCAGAACCAGTTTTGATTTTGAGCAGTTGTCTTCTAAAATGTAGTTGAGCCCCCCCCAAATTTTCCAAATTATTAGTAATTTTATGGGCCCAGTTTGATACTGAGAAGACCCTAAAATTTGGACTCTTTAAATTATGCTAAGGCTTCCCAAAGAAAGACGCACAAACAACTCCACTCCGCTCTCCATCCCTTGCACCAGCTGGCTGTGTGTCACCTAGCCACAAGTTTACACCTATCTCTTGCCAATGTCTTTCTGCATCGTGGCTCTAAGCTAAGACAGGACAGAGTTGTTCCGGTTCACACACACAGCTGAACTTCACAGCTTCTAAGTCAGTTCACATCCTTTTTCTGACTAGCAAATGCAGCATCTTACATAGTCAGCATGCTGCTGCTAAGATTGCTTTCCTTGCCCGTTGGTTAGATATTCTCACCGAAGCCACCTACATTCTCTACGATACCAGGCATTGCCTATTTGTTGTCTTGTCCGTGCCCTTCGTAGCTTCGCCGCTCTGCCTGTCGCCTCTCACTCCTTCCTGAATATTAAGCTCCTGCCTACATGCAGATTGCATACCAGTGCTCATCACCTGACTCTTATTTTCAAATCAGTTTATTGCTTTCTCTTCTTGGGGAGAAACACATTCAGAGATAGCTATCTTATTGGGGTTTTTTAACTCATATTTGTCTTTATAACTCATCTCACATATAGAGCTAATGGAAAAACTAGCCAGCATTTATTCTACTGATGAGCTACTACATTAATCTGTGTTTGTTCCTCTGCTCTTGGCCTGTATTTGACCTGTTGTCTCTTATGCTTAAATTGTAAGCTCAGAAGCAGGGGCTGCTTTACTGTACTGGACTGAAATGGTTTGTAAACCCAGTAAACCATGTTCTGTGCCAGGGCTCCTAGGAAACAGCCTAAGAAAAAAATAAAATAATAATCCCTTTGACTCTGAGGAAGATAAGAGCAGAGTGGCCAGCAGGTACTGGTCTCGGAACAGCATGAGGTCTTCAAGACAGAAAACACTGTGGGAGATGTGCCCAGGCTGCCAAGAGGGTATGTGCGAGATGCTTCTCCCCCAGGCTGCCTCTGCCCACGTGCCAGGGATCTCCAGGAACTGACTGCAAACAGAGATTTTCCTTAGGTACCAACTGCCTCCGTTGTATGTTGTCTTCATCACAATTACCCTTTCAGTTTCTTCCTACTACAGCTGTAATAGCTTCATGTGCGTTAATCGGAAAGTCATCTATCCTTGCATAAAAGATCTCTGTACAGTGCTGAATAAAATGTCCATAATTTCACTGGAAGAAACGTGCTAGTGGAGACCAAATTGCACGTCCTTGCATTTGATTTAGTTATTGCTAAGTCAAAAATTGGATCAGGTAGGTGGCTGCCAGTAACTCTGGGGTGCCTGGTTAACTGAAAACTTAAGCAACAGCTACATGCACAAAGTTGCCCTGGCATTTCATTTCCAGATCTCCTCTGCAGCTCAGCTTTCTTGGGAAGAAGAGCCATAAGCTCCCTCTACCCATCTCTGGAGCCCGTTCCCTGCGGCACTCATGTCCCCCATCGTTAGGGAGTGTTAATGATGTTAACCACGTCCTTGGACCTTCGTGGGTCCTAGCAGGCTCCAGCGCCTCCGTGTCTCTTGATGAGAGGAGATTGTCACGTGGTACGTCAAATCTCTGAGTGGTCAAAAAAACCCCACGCAGCCTGTTGCCATCAGAAACCGCAGTAACATTGGAGCTAACAACATTTAATAAATAGGGATTTTCTCCTTACACACAAGCAGTTTCACACTCTAATCCCCTCCTGTTAAGATTAACAGAGTGGAGACAGCACAAGAAAACCCTGAGCTGACTGAAGGGAAGAATTTTCTTAGGGATTTGAGCCTTTGCCAAGGAGAAAAGAGAAAAGGCCAAGAGAAGTCCATACTGACCTTCTCTGAAAGAGCAGAAATTTTTGCTACATTCTTCAGATGAACTTGAAGAACAGTCAGGGAAAGCAAACAGTGCGCAGGAGTCCATATCTTTTATTTGAGCTGCTCGTAGCAAAAATTGTGTTCTCTCAGATACTGCTTTTCAATTAACGTACATCTGCTGCAGGGGTGAGGAAAAGGAGAAAGAGTCTTTACCAGGAAAAAAAAAATAAATAAAGCAGATAACTATGACCTTCATGGTAGTTTCTTTAAGACCTCAAGATGTTCTGGGAAGTGCTCTGAGCAAATATAATCTTTAGCATAAATTAAAACAAAAAAAAAAAAAAAGAAGACCTTTCACTTCTAGCAACTTGTTGGACGGTTGTCTTTAATTTGCCTTTGTTAGTACTCCTCATTTCAAAAACAGAGAGGTTACCCTGGCACTGCAGTAGTCTCGTGCCCTCCGGGTAGGCTAGAAAACCTGTGAGGGTTGCGGGAGGACTTGCTCTGAAGCTGCTGGATGTTTTCCCTTAGAAAAGAAACTGGTGACCTTTTATGTGAGAAGTTCTCATGCCTCTGGCTTACCGGGAGAGTGCCCTTCTGTCATGTGCAAGCACCTAGATGATGCAAGGGTTTTTGCTCTGCTTTTGCTGAGATAATGTGTTGCTGAAATCACCTTTCTCTTCTGTTGATTACATTCTTTAGCAAAACATTGGCAGCACACCAAGGTAACTACTAAATTTCCTATTCTACTTCATCAGCTGCTGTCACTGGGCTGTGAACACCTGCAAGCTGCCAAAACGGCTGTTGTGAGCAGTAGAAGGGACTGGACTGGGAATCCTTTCATCTCCTGGCTCCCAGCACATGGCTCTAGGGGCTCACACATCCATCCGCGCAGCCCGCAGGGTGGGGATCCTGCGTCCCTCCCAAGCGGGAGGAAGGGGAAGCACAGCCCACCTCCCTCCTGCTTTTCCTGTAGCTCCAGGGAACCATTCCCACACACCTTGTCATGACTTTAGCTCTTGAGGTCTTGGCAGTGGAGCCAAGCCCGAGTGCTTTCTGACTCTTCCCTGCACAAGGTGACGTTCTCCTGCTGCTCCATTAGTCTTGTGTCTTCACTGGTTGTGTATGCACCTTTAATTACACCTGCCTATATTCGTGCACCTCATTTGCTTTAGAGGATTGATACACAAGGAGGTTGAATTAATTTTGCGTGGGCAACCAGAAACTGGATATTTCTTAACTTTAATTGAGTTGATTTTACAATCCAAGTAACATTTCAGCACATGGCTGGGGTGGTGATGATATTTATGGTATTTATTTATGGTCACTGCGGTGACATCCAAGAATAGTCTTCTGGAGGAGCTTGTCACTGCTGTGCTGACTGCTGAACAGGCAGAAACGAAACTTCTGTCATGAGTGGGTTTTAGGATGAGGGTAAATGATACATGATAAATGATAAGACATGGAGCGGGGAGATGAGCGTTCAGATATGTCAAGTTTGATGTATGTTTGCATTTGAAAATGATCCTGATTGACTGCAGTTCATTTTCATTCTAACCATATTTAGTTGTCCAATTATTTTTTTTAATTGCTTCTGTGCATATTGGTCTAGGTCAAAGAAAATGTAAAAGAAGGAACTTAAGATTCCATGAAAATAGAGTAATTTTCAGTTGAAAGTAATTTGTGTTCTCAAATGGATGAAAGCAAAATCGATAATACTGTATACCTAAGCTGTGTTGCAAGCTGGTGCCAGAATTTCAAAATGCAGTATTAATTTAATACAAAGGCAAAAGAAAACCAGACAGAAGTATATCTTGGTGAAGAAAACTTAGTTTAATTTGCAGGATAACTGTTTTTGTATGACGATGAGAGGTACAGAAGGGCTGTTCCCACGGATGGGAGAAAGGGGGAAGCTCCATCTGGGAAGGCAGCAGGGCTGTAGTTGTCAGTGGAAGGATCGGCAAGGGCTGGCAGAGTAAGTTGTCTCGTGACCTGAGGAAAGATAGCACAGTTTAAGTAGGTATTTAAAAAGCTTTTTTGAAGAATCTTGACCTTAAAATGAGTGAACGAAATTTGGGCTTGTGGTTGGTCTTCGTTGCGTGTGTGAAAACATGCTTTGTTTTCTGCTCCTTGGGAAGTTGGTACGTAAAAAGCAAAAAGACGACACCTATATCGGTGTGCGCTTACAGAAGATGTGAATGACTTCAAGGCAGGTGGAGTTAGGTGTTTGACGTGATCAGTAAAAGCGCAGTGTGTTGAGGGAAGAACTTCTTTCAACTTTTGCTCCACAAAATCTCCTCTGTCCACATTCTCAACCGCTGATGTTCCCCGTGCATGTTTTGCTTTGTCCTTCAGGCTCCAGGAGGGCACAGTCCAAAGACTCAAAACGGCCTTTTGAGTCCTCCACAGGAAGAAAAGCTCAGCAATAGTCAAACCTCACTTTATGAAATGTTGCAAGAGAAAGGAAGATGGGGCGGAGTGAGTCTGGATCAATCGGCTCTCCTTCCTTTGAGGTTCAAAAACATCAGAGAAAAGACAGACGCTCACTTTGTGGATGTGATTAAAGAAGACAGGTAAGGAAAATCAAGCTGTACGATGTAAAATTGTATAAAGGAGAGAAGGTGCTAACAGAGGTCCCATATCTTCAATCTTTATTTGTGTGCTTTTTGTCTAATGTCAATAATTATTGTTAACATATAACATGTCATGTGCTTTCTGTTCTTAGTATGTTTTCTGGTCAAACTACAATAGGAACTTGGTATCAGAAGCATTCTGCTCAGGAATATGTAAAGCCAGGTTTTCCATTGTTTCCGTGGTGAACAGTCATTCTTTAGTCAAGTCTTCAAAAACAAAAAATGCTCTTTAAATGACTTGTCGTAAAGTTGAACCCTTATCTTTACATTCAGAAGTCCGCTTAATGCACATAGTACGTACCTTCCTCTGAAATTAAGCCTAACATAAAATCTGAACCACAAAACTCACATTTTTGTATAGCAGAAGAGCAACATCTGATAATATTGTGTGACTGACTAATGCTTAGAAATCATACTGGGCTTGGAAGCAGAATTAATAGGAGTAAATTCTCATGGACCTACTACCTATCTACAGCGTTTTGTAAAGCTAGCTTCTCTCTCTGTTTCAAACCAAAAAACCCCTTATTTTGGGCAGAGGAAAATATGTTCTCTAAAATTCAGTAGCACGTGATTTTTGTTAACACACAACCATATCTCCCTTATTATTGCAGTGACTTGGCTGGATCAACTGAACAGATAACTTGAGTTTGTTATTGTTTATGGCTATTCTTATTTTTGCTTCACCGCTTTCACTCAGATTAGGGGTATTTTATCTAAATATCCTTGAAACTCTATGCTCAGATAGACTCCAGACTGCTTGGAGCAGGGACGCTGTCGTCTTAACTGAAAAAATGACTAAAGCAGGGAGAAGTGAGAAGGAGAGACACCAGTCACTCTCCAGTCTCTTCTCTAGATTTTTTTAGGATTACCTTTCTCCTGTGGCCAACTTCAATTAAAATTTAGGTTCCTCCTAAATTTTTTCCTCCTCTGCGTGCAGTCTGTCATTAGGGGCTGAGAATAGGTGTTTTGCTGATATTTTCTAATATTAGAAGACAGAAGGATTGGGAAAGTCCAAATGTTGGCAGAAATCAGCAAGAACAAATGCATTTTTTGTTTAAAATGCAACTACCGCACTGCAAACTAAGTTATAGAAGGAGCTTAATTTATGCCATTAGTTTGCAGCTCAAGCTCTTGTGTTCCTGGAGCTTTCCTCCTCCACTTACCAAATGGATAATTCTTTCTGATTTGGAATAAGGAAAAAGTAGGACTGTGATTTGACATCAGTCAAAGCCTAGCTTTTTTTGGGGGGGTCTCAATTAAATGTCATCGTTACCATATTAAGTGGGCCATTTCTTGTTGCCAGGGAAACTTCTCTGCTGAGTTCAGTTCATGTAAACATAACTTTCCAAAAATAATCTTCTGATTAATTAGATCTATGCAGAATGGTTTTAGCCTACCGTTTTACATTAATCCTTTTTAACATTTCTCATTGTAAAGTTGTATATAATAAGTCATTTTAAAAACGTACTTCATTCCCTGCTGTAAAACATAATACATCCTGTGAGCTTCCCCTAGCATCGGGCAGTGATTTCCACTGTGGTACACGATGCTGGTGTTCTGATCTGTGACAGAAATTTGTATTAACAGAAAGTACCTGACCCAGATACGGTGATAAGGTGAATAAATTAATCACGCAGGCTTTCTGTACAGCTGGGAAGAGTTAAACATATCCTAGGGAGGGTTCAGGAGCCCGTACGCTGCGTTAGGAAGCTGTCTAGGGCTAGCTAGGAGGAAATGCTGGACACTGGTGATATTTTTCATTTCCCAGCCTCTTTCCCCCAGTTTAGGGGTGTGGCTGAGAGTTTCACGAGTGGCCGTTGGTCTCTTTGCATGCCTTGGAGCTGGGATCTCAGCACAGTTCCAGTTGTCTTTAAAAATAATAATAAAGCCAATGTTAGTGTGGCGTGTTTGTATTATTGCATTATACAACAATCCTTTCCATAGAAGTTATCAGTTTGCATCTTCTTACAACTCGATTCCATATATTTGGCAAACAGAATATAGTTTGAGCTCTGAGTCTGGCTTTACTACAACCGCTATAACAATGCCATGCTTTGTTCATTGTAATTTGCATGTTACTGTGTATTTTAAAAGAAAACTAGAGTGTAAGAATACAAAATGTTTAAACCTAATTGCATTGGGGATACCCTCAAAGGATTCTTGCTTTTTAGATTTTTATTTCCAAGAAAAATTACATATTCCTTAGGTTATAAACCTCTTGAAGCACAAGAAACGAGTACTCATCAGGACAGTGCTTACAAGTGATCTCTTTAAATACAGAGCAGAGTCCCAGGGAGGTAGGAAGCTCCCACAGAAGGTAGATCCTGTGCAGGCCTTCACACCCCTCTTGGGTCCGTTTTCTGTTTAAATACTTTTAAAATGTGTTTTCTTTCTTTCATCCCCCACTTCCCAGTCTGGCTGGATTCAGGGAAAACTTGTGCTGGGGAGGCACAGCACCTCCTGGGAAGCAGATTATGTACTTGACTGTGTTTAGTCAACTAAACTGGGATCTTCACCTTTGAAGCAGATGACTGTTGACGTGGAACTGGACTGGCACGGTATGGCTGGCTGACATCAGAAATGCTGCCTTCGCTCTGATTTTATCATGTTATACCTTCCGTTTTGTGCTGTGCGCGCAAATTGGATTGTTCTTCCTGCATCCTTAGACCATCGCAGCTCCAGTGCAACATCACCATACTCTGTTGAGCTTCCTTGGGGGAAGAAAGTGAATTCAACAATACTTTAAAAAAAAAAAGCAAGCTTGCAAAAATCATATTGTAAGATGTTCTTAAAAACCTCTGAGAGGTGAGGGACAGAAGACAAGGAAGAATGAAAGAGAGAAGGGGAACAGAAGGGAATGTGTCCTGTCATTCCTTCAGAGTCTCCTGATGTTTTTAATATATTGGCCAAGGCCAGAATGTTTAAAGGTTATAAAGTATCTGCCATATTCATGGCTGAAGTCCTTTGTCTTCTCAAGCTTCAGTCTAGGAATGTGTGTTTGATTGGTCTTGCATCTGAAGAAAAAAATCCTTCCCACGTGCCATCTTGTGCTGCGGAGCTTGTACTTCCAAAAAACCTCTTTGCCAGGAGTCCAGAAAAACCCACCACCACCACAAAACAAGAACAAACAAGAAAGGATCTGGTCACGGATGAGCTCTGTAGGACCTTTCAGTTCTTCATCTGCTTGGAATTTGATCTCATGTGCATCTCTGTGGTTTTTGCTTACAAGTTATCGACTGCAAAATAGTCTGACCTGATTGTTGTTTCAGTGCTGCAGTTTTGAAGGTAGCAATAGCACTTGGAAAGAAGCCGCCCATTTCACACTCTACAGCAATTTTAAAAACAGTTAGTTCACTGTAAATAACTAGTGGAATGGTTTGCTTGAAAATGAGAGAAAGTTCATGGCAAGAGCCTGTGTTCTGCAGTCTCAGGTGAGGACGGCACAGAAGAGAGTGACGGGCTATCCCACAATAAATGGCACGAGCGGGTGTGACCTTACTCTGCGACCATCAGGCACAAAGCACTCGGGGCTTTGTGAGTCGAGTCCTTTCAGCTCTTCGACACCTACCAGAGAAAGACGAGGTTTGCACATCAAGTGCCACAGATGTCATTACAAAACCTCTTTCATAAACCTCTCACAACTAGTGTAAAACTCAAATAATATTGTATTTTGCCCCAGAGGGTGGGGAATAAAAACAATTTTTTAACGGTTGAGGCCTCTTTTGTGTTTGGGTTTGTTTGGGGTTTTTCCTGCACCTGATGCTGGAAGATAAGGTGAAGGAGTGCATAAACACCCTCTGGTAGATGCTGCCTCCTGGTTCGTTAGTGGTAATGAGCCACTTTCATTATTTGTCAGTGCCTTTGTTGGTGATTCTGGTGATTTCAAACTTTCTGTTTCAGAAGTAAACATAAGCTATCTGTCTCCTCAGGTTCCGTTTCTCTGCAGCCCAGATCGTTACGGGAATGTTCCCAGTTGAGTTACTGAGTTATTTTAGTGTCTTTGAAACAACAAGAAAGTGCTGTTTCTAAAACGAACAACTTTTTCTTTTTTTTTTTTCCCCCTAACAATTTGTCACCTTTGTCATCCCTGGCTTGCTTTGAAGGATAGCATTTCACCTGAGGCGCAAATATCCCGCAGCCGTGTGTCTCCTAAGGTTGTGCCTCTGTAGCAGCAATTAACCTTTCCTTTTTGCTGGTGCTTTTATATATATATATATATCTATCTATCTATCTATCTGTAGTCACCTGCAGCTATAGCTGTTAAGTTTCTGGAAGGACTTATTAGTCCCTTCCTGAAAGTATAAAAGTTTGCTCTGTCTTTTTTTTATAACATATTTCCTTTGAGTGATGTGGATAAGGGGGTAGCTCGGTGACCAAGAGCGAAGAAAAGCTACAGGAACTTCAAAGCTGAGCGCCAGCGTTCCTAGAAACAGAAACCATGGAACGGGGGGCTCTGGGAGAGTTACAGCTGAATAAACTGATGTTGGTATCGTCTTTTCTCCTCCTTTTAGCCTCATGAAAGACTACTTCTTTAAACCGCCTATTAACAAGCTGAGCCTGAACTTCTTGGATCAGGATTTGGAGATGGCCTACAGGACGAGCTATCAGGAAGAGGTGTGTTTCTCCTGGGATTGATTTCCTTCTGTAACCTGTCTAAGCAACTGTCTGTCATTGTTTTTAAGACATTTCCTTGCAGTTGATGACAAGGGTCATGAAATGTCACGTGTGATTTACGACTTGGTATCGCTGCCTCTGAAAACAGCCTCCTTTCAGCTTACCTGTCTCATGCTGTGTCCTGAGTCTAGTCCAACATTTAGGCTGGAAATACATTTTCTCAGTCCACCAAGACACACTACGTCTCACCTGCCTTTTCTCCATTTTCAGGTTAATGTTTTAAGGCTTTAGGCAGGCCAGAGAACCCTGCTAAGATGAAAGTAAAGGACCAAATGCTCCTTGCCTTCTCATCAAATACCCTGACTTTGAGAATGGTAACTTTGAATTTGATTCTTGTTCATGTCACAGCCCCATGTTTTTTCCTGTGGAACCCAAACCTGCTCTGAACTCAAATGTCCTAAGTTGTGTAAGTGTGCTGCGTTCAGAAACAGGCAGTTCAAAACCCTGCATAATGGTAAGGAACAGCGAGTAAATTGTAAGGAACTTGGTGCCTTCTTCAGGATTCTGCACTGAGTGTAAAAAGTCCTTAATGCCCTTGGGGGCTAATGGTACCGCAGGTTTTCCCTGTCAGTAGATACTCCTGCCTGGTTGGTATGAACTAGCAAGATGTTGTAAGTTTGCATTAGGTGTCGCCACTAACTGAGTCTGCATTTCCCAAGTAGCTGAAAAGTTGCTGCCAAAAGAGGGCAGTTGCTCTCCCCTCCTTGTTCCTCCTCCTCCCTGCTCCTTCTAATGGCTCTGGTGCTTATCAGCCTTCCCTGCTGAGAGCCAGTTCATTTTACCAACCTAGCGTCAAATATTCACGTTTTGTTTTTCTGTTTGAGGCTTTTTTTCTTTTTCTGCCTGGGTCTGTTTTCTGCTGTATTGAACCAGCAGCTCACAGAGAGGTTGGCAAGTGCCAGAGCCAGCACAAGTGTCCGGCAGCAGGAAAGGGAATGGGCCCTTCCCTTCCAGTAGTGTTGAGCTATTGGTTTGGGTCATCCATCCGGCAGAATTGCGTCGTGATAACTATTGGTGTTGATTTCCTTTCTTCCCGATATGTCCTACATCTGAGGGCAGGTAGGATTTCTGCTCCTGCTGCTTGTTGCTTTCTGTTTGTGGGCTGCTTTCAGTTCTGGGCAGTGTTGTCACATTGTCCTTAGCAATAGTCCCTATTTGCCTGGTTTCCAATGTTTACAAATGAGACCTAGCTTAGTTTTTTGACAAAGGGAAGTATAATTGCGTTGCAGTTCAGTTTGTTCACTTTGATCAGGAACTCCGTACTCATTCTGCAGCGCTGTGTTCCAGTGGTATCTGTGAATAAAGCTCATGCAGCAACAACAGGGAGAAGCTTCTCATAGGACATAGCCTGCAAAATGTGCACAAACTATACAGAAAATAGTAAATCAAGTTCTTTCCAATAGAAAGATTGGAAAGAGAAGCGAAGCAGTGATAGTCAAATGTATACAGATTGGCCTATTAATGTGGGTGTGTAGGAAATTCAGAGAAGGAGCAGGAAT